CCCCAAAACCCCAAAACCCCAAAACCCCATATAAAACGAAGGAACTTGAAGTATAATAATTAAGATGATATCCAAAACCTTCGTTTTCTTAGGAATCAACATGCTAGTCATGACTGCCATGTCGAGAGTCACTGTTACGAGGCTAGATAGACACCTTACATGCTCAAGTCCGCATACTTGAAGAAGCTGTGTGAACAATAGCTCTCAGAGATGGTGAGTTGTGAATGGGACAGCCAACCCAACTGTTGGAGAATGATGCAACTCAGGGGATACCTCTGGTTATTGCTCAGACAACAGTAGTTATGTGTGCTCTAACTCGAAGGACATTGATAATAATGGAGGCCTCATACTCTGTCCAACTGAAGCATCTCATTGTGGGGAGAGAGATGTATTACTCGAATGGAGTAAAGACTATGAAAATATCACACAAGCTCTTATTCCGCACTCTTCCCTGTGTGTTTACAGAATACATACGACTTCAAGTTTGGTGAAGAGCTTGGAAATTGAGATCAGTATGAGCTTTGATTTTATTTGGTTTTGTTCACTTCTAATTTCTAATAATTTTTGTTTCATAATCTTGATACACTTTTTATAATAATTTGGTTTTTTCATCAAAGATTAGCTTAGTCTATTCCCTTCAATTTGGCTCTAGTTTAGGATATTATCATTATTTGTTCATATCTATTGCTAGTTTTAGTTTAGCATATTCTAAACTTGACCACAGAAATTAACGAAGGATTTTAAGAGATGAGGTTTCACCATTGAAGTTAAATAATTCTGATCATAAATATTGAAGACTTCTTATTAATAGCTCCTGCTTTGAAGCTATAGGTTTGGTCCATCTTGAAGATAATAGTTGAATGTACTTCCTTAGGCTTCTAGGTACTTCATCTAATCTCGAAAACAACAATTATAACTATCTAATGAATCCTGAATTGTTTTGTTATTATTCTAAAGAAATACATAAAATGCTAAATGTTCACTCTTTCAATATAGATGACTTCAGTGGCGCAGATGTTAAACCCTCCTTCTATACAATCTTCACAGGGTCAAGAGACAAGAATAAGTACTCTCACAAAGGAAGCATGAAGGCAAATGACAAGAAGAGAGTGGCATTTTATGAAGACAGTTGCGTCTACATTGTTGTAGAACCTTCTTCAGGCTATAATGTAATCTGACTGGTTATTTATAGAGGCTGAGCATTGGCGTTAAGGCTAGTACTGCTCAGGTTGTGTAAGATGGTCAGGTTATGGTTTAGGGAGAGATCGACGGCTGAATTTATTGTGCTTATTGTGGTTATTGGGGTTTTGGGTGTGGTGCTACTGATTGGTGTTGGATTATTCTTTGTTCTGATTGCTGCGGGTTGTTTTAAATGAATAAGGAGTGTAATTTTGTGATGAAAGAAGAGCGCAGAAGATAATACCTCTCCACAGGGCGTGGACCAAGAAATGGCTCCAGCGTAAGTTTCCTTTATGAGCTCTAGCAAGCCGTACGCGGCGCACCCTTCCTCTGTGGTGCATCCTCAGATAGCAGTGCCAGCACCTCCAGACGCTAATGGCCCTCAGCCGATCGAAGGTAAGCCTAAAAGTGAGCTCTAGGGAACCGAATGACTCCAGCTGGGTCTATTCATACCGCAGAGCACATCGGCTAAAACCGGATGGGTTCAGAATTATTGATCATTATTTTGGAGTTTAGATTCCCTCAATCTTCCCGATCTGTAGTGGGGTTTTGGGGTTTTGGGGTTTTGGGGTTTTGGGG